AACAGAGCTCATGGTTGTGGCACCCAAGGCGCTGCTCCAGAAGGTTGGTGACTTCGTCCTCGAGGTCGACGGCTGCTCCATCTCCCCATCTCCTGAAGCCCACAACCTGGGTGTCATCCTCGACTCCACCCTCTCCTTCCACTCCCACGTCAAGTATGTGACCAAATCGGCCTTTTACCACCCAAGGAAAATTGCAAGACTCCGACCGTCACTCTCGGAGTCGGTTGCCGAAACCCTAGTCCATGCGTTTGTCACCTCCCGCTTGGACTACTGCAATGGTGTCCTGTTCGGGGTTCCCAACAAAACCCCGGACAGGCTCCAGTCAGGGTTTCCGTTAGCCGGTAATTACCGGTTTTTAGCTGGTAAAATGTATTAAAAACCGGTAAATTCAAAACCTGCCGGTCAAAATGTCTGGTAATAATTAGGGAGGCTCCGATAGATCGGCCGCCGGTCATTATCGGCCGATATTCACTCTTAATAGTTTAATCGGTGCTCTCTATAAAGACCGATCAGGAGAGCTGGATCTGATCGATATGGACATAAACGCAAGTGAAGTGTAACCGGACACGCGAGAGATCAGATCAGCTGCTGAGTCTGACCGAGACACGCAGCTCTGCATAATCACCTGAAGCCCCGCCCTCTTTTTAACGAGCTGCAGGAGCTGCATGAGAAACTGACGGGCTGTCAGGAGAGAGAGGGAGGGAGAGGGGAAAAGAGAGGATCCGTTTCTCCCGTGTTATTATTCAAAGTTAATGTAAACTTTTGAATAATGTACTTCATCTACTACAAGTAGTTTGTTTGAATGTAATAATTATGTTGTTTGTTGTTTGTGGAATAATTTATTGAAAAATGAATCTGAATTTTTCGATCTGTTACGATTATAAACTGAAGCAATATAAAAATGAGCCCCGTGAACTGAGTTTTAAACTGAAGCATATCTGCTCATAGTCCGGTAATTACCTGCTAACGGAAACTCTGCTACACAACTCTTATTATTATTATTGAAATATGACCGGTAATTTTCAAATGTGTCCGGTAAAATAAATTCTGCCCGGACATTTGACCGGCGAGAAAAAATCCTAGCGGAAACCCTGGCTCCAGTATGTCCAAAACTGTGCTGCTAGGGTACTCACAAATACAAAGCCATGGCAGCACATCACTCCCACCCTCATCCACCTCCACTGGTTGCCGGTCAAGTCCCGCATCACCTACAAAGTCCTCCTCCTCACCTACAAGTCCCTCCATGCCCATGCCCCCCAGTACCTATCGGACATCCTTCGCCCACATGCCCCACCCCGGAACCTGCGGTCCTCAGACTCTGGCCTGCTTACCACCCCCCGCACCAAACTGCGAACCTTCGGGACAGAGCTTTCAGCGTGGCAGCCCCCCCCCCTCTGGAACGCTCTCCCTGCGGAGATCCGCAACATCCCGACGCTTGACGCCTTCAAAAGGGCCCTCAAGACCCATCTGTCCACCAAGGCCTTTGGCCCCTAATCTATTTGTTGTTTTGTCTGTCTGACTGGTTGTCTGATTGCCTTTTGTTTTGTTATGTTTGTTTTGCCCTGTTCTTCCTTGTAAAGCGACCTTGGGTCCCATGAAAGGAGCTATTATTATTATTATTGTTCTGTGGTTGTTGTGTGATTGCCGTTGTGGTAATCTTGTGTTGTTGTTGTTGCAGTGCCTCCCCCTGTGGCCGGAGAACCCCTCAGGGAAGTTGTGTCTTCGCGTCGTTGGTTCTGAATCCTCCTCCAATTTCTTCTTCTTCAACCGACAGGACAGCGGCATCCTCCTGAGGCTGGACCAGGTGAGAGATCATAGCATATTATTATTATTATTGTTATCCACAGAGAGGCTGGATCGTGCATAACTACACATATTGTGTGTGTGTGTAGTGCGGTGGGATCATCGTGGACGTCAACATGTCGGATCACTCGACCATCATCAGCTTCAACGAATATTACGAAGGAGCGGCTCCTGCTCTGTTGCTCAACCACACACCCTGGGTCAGCATCAGATACAAGCAGAGGTACACACACACATATATACACACACACACACACACACACACACACACACACACACAGATTGAAGTTATATACTGTATGTAGTTGCCAAAATCCTATCAGTTTGTCTTATACGTTTCTTTTCATGGCCACATGGAGAACTTGGGGACTATCAGATTCGCAGCTTGGGTAAAAAAATCCACTGGACGTTTTGATTGGTTGATCTTGAACGTGTATTGCCAAAAAACAAATACAAAAACAATATCAACTTGGAGCTTAAACTTCAGCAGTAGATTTGAATAATCTGTTTGACTGAGACTAAGATCAGTGACAGTTGATCTGCTTCCTGCTGCTATCCTGTCACGCACCGCTCCTCCAACTTAAAGTTTTAGCCCCACCCTCACCTGAGTAAGGCACACTTCTTGCTGCAATAGAAAAATGCATTAATAAAAGTTGCAAATAGATCCAATGCGGCTCCTAACCTGTATCTGTTCCCAGCGGCTCGGCGGGGGTCCAGGACCTGAACCCCGGAGAGGCTCGGCTCTTCGCCTGGGACGACCCGTCCGGAGAGAGGTCGCTCAGCTGGAGCTGCATGGAGAACCACGGAGACCTGGACCTGCTGAAGGTCTGACATTACCCCCATTACCCTCATCACCCTCATTACCCTCATCACCCTCATCACCCCCATTACCCTCATCACCCTCATTACCCTCATTATCATCAAACACTCATTACCCCCATTACCCTCATCACTCTCATTACCCTCATCACCCTCATTACCCCCATTACCCTCAAACCCTCATTACCCTCATTACCCTCATTACCCTCAAACCCTCATTACCCTCATTACCCGCATCAACCTCATTACCCTCAAACCCTCATTACCCTCATCATCCTCATTACCCTCAAACCCTCATTACCCGCATCACCCTCATTACCCTCAAACCCTCATTACCCTCATCATCCTCATTACCCCTCAAACCCTCATTACCCTCATCACCCTCATTACCCTCAAACCCTCATTACCCTCATTACCCTCATCACCCTTATTACCCTCATTACCCTCATCACCCTCATTACCCTCATTACCCTCATTACCCCCATTACCCTCATCACCCTCATCACCCTCATTACCCTCATCACCCTCATTACCCTCAAACCCTCATTACCCTCATTACCCTCATTACCCTCATCATCCTCATCACCCTCATTACCCTCACCCCATCACCCTCATTATCCCCATTACCCTCATCACCCTCATTACCCTCATTACACTCAAACCCTCATTACCCTCATTACCCTCATTATCTCCATTACCCTCATCACCCTCATTACCCTCATTACACTCAAACCCTCATTACCCTCATCACCCCCATTACCCTCATCACCCTCATTACCCTCATTACCATCATCACCCTCATCACCCTCATTACCCTCATCACCCTCATTACCCTCACCCCCCTTCACCCTCATTATCCCCATTACCCTCATCACCCTCATTACCCTCATCACCCTCATTACCCTCACCCCCCTTCACCCCTCATTATCCCCATTACCCTCATCACCCTCATTACCCTCAAACCCTCATTACCCTCATCCCCCCATCACCCTCATTACCCTCATTACCCCCATCACCCTCATCACCCTCATCATCCTCATCCCCCCATCACCCTCATTATCCCCATTACCCTCATTACACTCAAACCCTCATCAGCCTCATCACCCTCATTACACTCAAACCCTCATCACCCTCATTACCCTCACCCCATCACCCTCATTATCCCCATTACCCTCATCACCCTCATTACCCTCATCACCCTCATTACCCTCATTGCCCTCATTACACTCAAACCCTCATTACCCTCATCACCCTCATTACCCCCTTTACCCTCATCACCCTCATTACCCCCATTACCCTCATTACCCTCATTACCCCCATTACCCTCATCACCCCTCATCACCCTCATTACCCTCATCACCCTCATCACCCTCATTACCCTCATTACCCTCATTACCCTCAGTACCCTCATTACCCTCATCACCCTCATTACCCTCATTACCCTCATCACCCTCATTACCCTCATTACCCTGATCACCCTCACCCCCCCATCACCCTCATTACCCCCATCACCCTCATCCCCCTCATTACCCTCATCATCCTCATCCCCCCATCACCCTCATTATCCACATTACCCTCATTACCCTCATTACCATCATCATCCTCATTACCCTCATTACCCTCATCCCCCCCATCACCCTCATCACCCTTATCACCCTCATTACACTTAAACCCTCATCCCCCCATCACCCCCATCACCCTCATTATCCCCATTACCCTCATTACCCTCATCACCCCTCATCACCCTCATTACCCTCAATACCCTCATCACCCTCATCACCCCCATCACCCCCATCAACCCATCATCGAGGGCTTATGCTCTGGCTGTCTCTCCACAGGCCACATTAGTAGAGACTGTAAACGACGGCTCATCTTTAGAGTTTGCAAGCAAGTCCACCCAAGTGTCCTCAATCTCAATCTTTATTTATTTATATAGCACATTTTAAACAACCTCAAGTGCTGTACAGGGAATACAGAGTAAGTTGGACCATGACAACTTAAATAACACTGCCGCTGAGGCACCAGTTAGCGAATCTTACACAGGGTATTTCAAGCCAGAAGAAAGGAAAGCCATAGGAAAGGCTTGAGGAAAGAAATATAGGAAACATGTTGAATGTACCTTGTTACTGGAATGAAACGGAGACTCTTGTCTAGACCTGGATCATTGCCCTGCGTCAGATTCACTAACTGGTGCCTCAGCGTTATTTTAAGTTAAACATCAGTTTTATTTCTATATGATTTTGGCCGCTACACCCACTATCATGTGTTCCTCTGTTCTGGGTCTATCTGGTTCTGGTCTCTGGTTCTGGTCTCTGGTTCTAGTCTCTGGGGTTCTGCTGTGTTCAGGACGATGTGGGCCAGTTCTCCTACGACAGCCGGTCTCAGGTCCATTGGGTTTCCTTCCTCGACGGACGGCAGCGGGTTCTCCTTTTCACCGAAGATGTTGCTGTGGTGACGAAGGCTCGGCAGGCGGAGGAGCTGGAGCAGTTTGAACAGGAAGTGAAGGTTTCTCTGCAGAACCTCGGACTCTCATTGGTCAACAACAGAGGGAGGCAGGAAGTCGCTTACATCGGCATCACCAGGTATCTTCATCTTCCTCATCATAATGATTATACAGATGTAGCACCTCATTTCAGACTCCAGCTTACAGCTTCCTGCCTACGACCTGCCTAAGACCAGTATCGAGGAATGTTAAGCCCTCCCACTATTTTCCAAGAGGGCGTTGCCAGATTTTAAATTTCAGGTTTGAACCAGGAGATGGCGCTTCATTCACAAATACAGAAAGACAAATTTCATGGACTTGCAGTTGTGTTTTGAAGAGCATTTGAACACATCAATATTTTAGATCAACTAAAGTATATCTAATCTTGTAATTCAATAATATATAGTCTTTATATATTACATAATCATAATAATAATGTAAATGTTTACACTACACTTCTTTATTTGTTATGCTCATACTTTTACCTTTACAATCGTTTGCTTTAATATGCAGTATATTGTTGTGTTTGCTTCCTCCTGCTCCCTTTCGGACACAGACTGTTTGATTTATTATTATTATTAATATGAAGATATTATTAAGATAAGATGTTACTTTATTGATTGAACATTTTAGTTTAGAACGTGCTGTCCCACGGTAACTCAGAAGGCTCACAGGTCACATTCCGACCATCATTTAAAACAATAGGTGCTTTCACACCGTCTACAGTTTGATTTGTATAGAGGGAGCTGCTGGAGAAGAAAGATCAGGGGGGAGAGAGCTGTGGTTGATGGGCCATTAGTTGTGTAAACACACAGCTGAGAGCTGCCGTTTCACTCATTCACGCCTTCATCTCCTCCCGCCTTGACTATTGCAACTCCCTCCTCTACGGCATCAGCTCCACCTCCCTCAGTAGACTCCAGCGTGTCCAGAACGCAGCCGCCAGACTCCTCACCCACACCCAATCATGGCATCACATCACCCCGGTCCTCAAAGAACTCCCCGTTACACACCGCATCAATTACAAACTCCTGGTCCTCACTTATAAAGCCCTCCACCATCTGGCCCCCCCCTACCTCACTGACCTCCTCACCCTCTACCAACCACCCCGGTCCCTCAGATCCACCTCAGCCGGTTTGCTTTCAATCCCCAAGGCCAAACTCCGGAGCTTCGAGGACAGAGCCTTCTCTGTGGCAGCCCTGAAGCTCTGGAACTCACTCCCCCAAGACCTCCGTGAGTCTGAGTCCCTCACCCTGTTCCAGTCCCGCCTCAAAACCCACCTCTTCAACTCTTTATCTATAAAGCCCCCCCCCCTCTTAATCAACTTCCTCCTGACTGCTTTTCTGTTGTGTTTTGTTTCTTTTTGGCTTTGTCTCTGTTTTTTTGTTTTGTTTGTATACCCCCCCTCCCAAATGTAAAGCGTCTTTGGGTCCAGAAAAGCGCTATATAAAATTAATATATTATTATTATTACATACAACTATTTTTTAAATCAATAAAAACATTTTCTAAATCCATAAAAGCATTTCAATTAATATTGGGAGTCATGTCGTTACTTTGTTTAGAATGTGGCCGTGTAATAAGCGGGATCATTTGCAGCGACTTGTTCCTTATGGGGAAAATAACACCCTTCAGTAGATCAAGATCCCTCCGCTACGCGTCGGGATCCTGATCTGCCGACGAGGCTCCATTAAAATATAATTATTTGTAGTGAATTACTGAGTTTAGGGTCGTTAATAACGTTTTAATGAAGTTGAATACAGTATATTCATATGTGTCAGTGATTTCATGTCAATTGGGCGAACATAAACATAAATGATCGTCGTGAAGATGATGATTAAATTAGGATTACAAATCGAGAGCCGAGCTGCATTTCCTCCCGTTCGTTTTTTTCGACTAAACAACATTATTTTGTTAAATAACAACATGGTGATGTTTTGTAAATGATTACATGTCTCTTATTTAGCACAGAGTATGATATCCGTGACATATGGATCTGAACAAAGTTCCGCTGTACATCCAGCGTACTCTCTCTGACTTTATTTCACATGCGCTCCAGTGTGGAACCCCACTGCACCCCCTGGTGGATCAATGATCCATTGCAGCTGGCTTCATTATAATTACATGTATTTATCACGGGGGAGGTCTCAAGTCAAGCTGGAGGTTTTCCCTTGAGCTAGGGCAGATCACCTACCAATCACGGCCCTCGCATTTCAAACTGTCTGAAATGAAGCGCTACATCTGTAGCAGTAGCAGTGTGCGTTCAGCCGGACGGTTCAGGATCCAGATGTAACCTTTAAATGTGGATTGTGTGAATATTTATTGCGAATGTATGAAATATGTTGATATATCACAAGTTAATGTTGTTATTGAATTGTATGGTACAAAGCATCTTGTATAGTTTGAGATTTATGTTATTTTTGTACATGGTCTAAACCAATTAACTAACTAAACTATGAGAAACCCTCAGTTCCCAGAGAACCACTGACTTATATCACTGTGTGTGTGTGTGTGTGTGTGTGTGTGTGTGTGTGTGTGTGTGTGTGTGTGTGTGTGTGTGTGCAGCTCAGGTGTGGTGTGGGAGATGAAGCCAAAGAGCCGCTGGAAGCCCTTCAGCCAGAAGAACATCAACCTGCTGGAGGAGGCGTTTCAGAAGCAGCGTGGCGGGGGTGGCGACGGCTGGGTCACTCTGGAGACTCACCTGGAGGTCAGAGGTCACACACACCACTATCAGCTGATCATGTGATCTGTCCGCTGACTGTGTGTGATGTCATGATGTTACAGGTGAAACTGGGCGGAGCCACCATGATGATGCGGAAGCCCATTTCATGCCAGGTGAGGAGGAACTTCCTGTCAGGGATCCAGGTCGAGTTCAAGCAGTCGCAGCACCAGCGCTGTCTGAGGGCCCAACTGCACTGGCTGCAGGTACACACACACACACACACACACACACACACACACACACACACACACACACACACACACACACACACACACACACACACACACACACACACACACACACACACACCTGTCTGACACTCTCTGTTTGCAGGTGGACAACCAGTTGCCCGGCGCCATCTTCCCGATCGTCTTCCATCCCGTTCCTCCGCCCAAATCCATCGCTCTGGACTCAGGTGGATCCTCTTTGTTAAATGTTTTTTAAATTTTTTTATTCGTGATTCAGTTTGTGATTTTAACTCGGAGCCCTGCCTCCACAGAGCCGAAGCCCTTCATCGAAGTGTCCGTAATCACGAGGTTCAACCGGCACAGCAACGTCATGCAGATCAAGTGAGTGGCCACCAGTGGAAAGTGAGGGAAACCACTTTAACGTGAGGGTAAACCAAGTGTGTCACTCTCTACCCTTCAGGTACTTCATGGCTCTGGTTCAGGAAATGGCGGTGAAGATCGATCAGGGTTTCCTGTCGGCCATCTTGGCTCTGTTCACCCCCGCTGCTGAGCTTCATGCCGAGCGGCAGAAGGTAGAGACGTAGAAATAGAAGTAATAGAAGTATATATAAATGTACAGAATTCAAACAGTATATCCCTGTTTCAGGCCGGGCTGTTGGATAAAGACCTGAAGAAGCTTCAGACGGAGCTGATGGAGACTTCGCTCTCCGACCAGTCCACTGTCAGCTTCTTCCAACACTTCCACATCTCCCCCATCAAGGTCCACACATAATATATTTGATACATAATACATATGTTATATAATACTTACATTAATTATATAATAAGTGTATATGTTACATGTTGCAGCTGCACCTGAGTCTGTCTCTGGGCTCCTCCGGCTCAGAGGAGTCTCCCGAGGCGATGCAGAGTCTGAACCTGCTGCTGCAGAGCATCGGAGCCACGCTGACTGACGTGGACGACATCGTCTTCAAGTGAGAGAGAGTCCTACTTCCTGTTCTTTTCTTTCTGTTCCCTGCTTCCTGTATCCTGCTTCCTGTATCCTGCTTCCTGTATCCTGCTTCCTGTTCTTTTCTTTCTGTTACCTGTTTCCTGTATCCTGCTTCCTGTTCCCTACTTCCTGTTATTTTCTTTCTGTTCCCTGCTTCCTGTATCCTGCTTCCTGTATCCTGCTTCCTGTTCCCTACTTCCTGTTATTTTCTTTCTGTTCCCTGCTTCCTGTATCCTGCTTCCTGTATCCTACTTCCTGTTCTTTTCTTTCTGTTCCCTGCTTCCTGTATCCTGCTTCCTGTTCTTTTCTTTCTGTTCCCTGCTTCCTGTATCCTGCTTCCTGTTCTTTTATTTCTGTTCCCTGCTTCCTGTATCCTGCTTCCTGTATCCTGCTTCCTGTATCCTGCTTCCTGTTCTTTTCTTTCTGTTCCCTGCTTCCTGTATCCTGCTTCCTGTTATTTTCTTTCGGTTCCCTGCTTCCTGTATCCTACTTCCTGTATCCTGCTTCCTGTATCCTACTTCCTGTTCTTTTCTTTCTGTTCCCTGCTTCCTGTATCCTGCTTCCTGTTCTTTTATTTCTGTTCCCTGCTTCCTGTATCCTGCTTCCTGTATCCTGCTTCCTGTATCCTACTTCCTGTTATTTTCTTTATGTTCCCTGCTTCCTGTATCCTGCTTCCTGTATCCTGCTTCCTGTTATTTTATTTCTGTTCCCTGCTTCCTGTATCCTACTTCCTGTATCCTGCTTCCTGTATCCTACTTCCTGTTCTTTTATTTCTGTTCCCTGCTTCCTGTATCCTGCTTCCTGTATCCTGCTTCCTGTTCTTTTCTTTCTGTTCCCTGCTTCCTGTATCCTGCTTCCTGTATCCTGTATCCTGCTTCCTGTTCCCTACTTCCTGTTATTTTCTTTCTGTTCCCTGCTTCCTGTATTCTTCTTCCTGTATCCTACTTCCTGTTCTTTTCTTTCTGTTCCCTGCTTCCTGTATCCTGCTTCCTGTATCCTGTATCCTGCTTCCTGTTCCCTACTTCCTGTATCCTGCTTCCTGTTCTTTTCTTTCTGTTCCCTGCTTCCTGTATCCTGCTTCCTGTTATTTTCTTTATGTTCCCTGCTTCCTGTATCCTGCTTCCTGTATCCTGCTTCCTGTTGTTTTCTTTCTGTTCCCTGCTTCCTGTATCCTGCTTCCTGTATCCTGCTTCCTGTATCCTACTTCCTGTTATTTTCTTTATGTTCCCTGCTTCCTGTATCCTGCTTCCTGTATCCTGCTTCCTGTATCCTGCTTCCTGTTCTTTTCTTTCTGTTCCCTGCTTCCTGTATCCTGCTTCCTGTTATTTTCTTTCTGTTCCCTGCTTCCTGTATCCTGCTTCCTGTTCTTTTCTTTCTGTTCCCTGCTTCCTGTATCCTGCTTCCTGTATCCTGCTTCCTGTATCCTGCTTCCTGTTCTTTTCTTTCTGTTCCCTGCTTCCTGTATCCTGCTTCCTGTATCATGCTTCCTGTTATTTTATTTCTGTTCCCTGCTTCCTGTATCCTGCTTCCTGTATCCTGCTTCCTGTATCCTACTTCCTGTTCTTTTCTTTCTGTTCCCTGCTTCCTGTATCCTGCTTCATGTATCCTGCTTCCTGTTATTTTCTTTCTGTTCCCTGCTTCCTGTATCCTGCTTCCTGTATCCTGCTTCCTGTATCCTACTTCCTGTTCTTTTATTTCTGTTCCCTGCTTCCTGTATCCTGCTTCCTGTTCCCTGCTTCCTGTTCCCTGCTTCCTGTTCCCTGTTTACTGTTCCCTGCTTCCTGTTTCCTTTGTATGATCAGTGTGCGAAAAAGTACACGTCCCACCGTCCGGGACATGTTATTTACAATATCGGACAAGTAGATCTTTCAATTGACTTGTCCGGCGGACAAGTGACGTTTTTCTGCCTGATTTATTGACAAATTATTGATATATTCAGTTTACAAAAGGCAGAACTCATTCGCAAATTGTACGTGTCCGCCATTGTTCGTTTAGAAATGTTAGTTTCGGTTCTGCTTGTCGATTCCTAAGGAAATGCATCTCGCCGCTTTCTGTACAGTTAGACGGGGCGGGGCGGGAAGTGTAGCAGTGGCCGGGTTGGGAAGCAAAACTCGGTTCCGAGTAGGAACAAATAACAATTGTCCGGTACCGGGATTAATAAGAGTTGTGAGGACAGGAGGCCGAGCCCCGCGGACCGCAGCTCTCTCTCTCTATGCTCCGTATCAGCTGATCACTGCACGGTGCAGCTCAGCGTCTCTCTCTCTCTCTCTCTCTCTCTCTCTCTCTCTCTCTCTCTCTCTCTCTCTCTCTCTCTCTCTCTCTCTCTCTCTCTCTCTCTCTCTCTCTCTACACACAGCGGATCCGCTGCCCGTTTAACAGCCTCATCTTTGTCAAACGTTCTTATGTTCTTTCTCTAACACGTAATGAAGGTTATTAAGCGTTTTAGCTCCTGTGTTGTTAATATTGACGCCATTTCCTTTATGAAGTGAAGCAGCCTCCCTGTCTGTGTCCTCGCGCTGTCCTCACATCCCCGGACCCCCAGACTCGGAGGAGCACAGGGATGTCAGTATTGTTTATGAAGCAGGGTATAGAAAGTACATTATGGAAATGAAAATACTATTTATTTACTTTTCCAAACAGTGAGCAGCTGCAGCTGTGTATTGCAGGACATGTGTAAGCGTGCAAGCGTCTTTGAGTTGTAGAACAGCGCTAGGCCTATAGGCTATACATCTAATGTGTCATTATTATTATTATTAGGTTATGTCCTATGTGTTGGACATGTGTGGTTGGACTCTGTCTCACAGGCAGGTTGCAGTGTAACATCAGAGTACATTGTACATTCTCAAACTGCACCACTTAGAACGAACTAAACAATGCAGAGATTGTTTTTATATAATTGTATTCAATAACCGTAAGAAATTCAACAGTATGAAGTGATTTGTAAATAGGAATACAGATTTGACTTAATGTTTTCATAAATATATTTTTCTCCCAGTTTGTCATGGGACTTATTTTGACCCTCTCAAAGAACCGGAATCGAGAACCAAAAATAACCGGAATCGAAAAGCAGAACCGGAATCGTTAAAATCCAAATGATACCCAACCCTATGTGTGATGCAGTAAAATCTTACCGCTCACTTACGTTAGCGGTGTCGTAAAAACCGTGGGAAAATGTAAAATACGATGACGAAGAAGAAGATTCCAGTGGCCCCAATTTTTGTCCATTCTGGACAAGTGAAAAATGTATTCGGACAAGTAAATTGCCAAACTCACTTGTCCATGGACAAGTACTCTCTAAAAACGTTTTCTCACACTGATGTTGTTCCTGCTCCTCTCTTCAGGCTGGCCTTCTTCGAGGTGAAGTACCAGTTTTATCGCAGAGAGAAGCTGATGTGGGCGGTGGTCCGACATTACAGCGAGCAGGTCAAATCTAACGTTTTCTTATAAAAGCAAGATCAAACTGCAGTTTTAGGATTATTTTATATATGTCTGCAGATATAATATGATATGTGTGTGTGTTTATGGCTGCAGTTCCTGAAGCAGATGTATGTTCTGGTTTTGGGTCTGGACGTCCTGGGGAACCCGTTCGGACTGATCCGAGGTCTGTCCGAGGGCGTGGAGGCCTTTTTCTACGAGCCTTTCCAGGTAACGCACACTTTTAAAATCATTTTAAACCGGGAAACTAGTCCTCGGATGTGCCAGGATCACATGTTTGCTGTGGCGTCCCTCAGGGAGCCGTCCAGGGCCCGGAGGAGTTTGCTGAGGGCTTCGCCATTGGGGTCCGCACCCTGCTGGGAAACACCGTCGGTGAGTTATTATTCTACACAGTGTGTTTCCAGAGGTAAAGAGACTGGGTAAAGTGGTTCTGAGGAGGTGCATGCTGGGTAATGTTGTTCGGAGATGGAGTGTTCTGCTGGGTCCTGCAGGGGGCGCTGCAGGGATGGTATCCAGCTTTGCATCCTGGGTAAGGTAAGATAAGAAGTACTTTATTGATCCCAATGTGTGAAATGTTTGTGTTGCAGCAGCATCAAAAGACAAGACATTGTACATTAGAGACATTAAAAGAGTAGAAATAAACAATCTAAAATGTTAACATCTCAAATAGAAATAAAATAGCAAAAGCAAAAGTAAAAAATATACATGTGGAAATACAAATGTTATAGTGTGTTTTCTGCTCGTCCTGCAGGGGGCACTGCAGGGGTCATCTCCAGTGTTGCATGCTGGATAATGTAATAGTGTGTTTTCTCATGCAGGGGGCGCTGCAGGGGTCGTCTCCAGGATCACAGGCTCGGTGGGGAAAGGTCTGGCCGCCATCACCATGGATAAAGAGTTCCAACAGAAGCGCCGCGAGGAGATGAACCGCCCGCCCCGAGACTTCGGAGAGAGTCTGGCCAAAGGAGGGAAAGGACTGCTGAAGGTCAGGACTACCGTAGTATCTCAAATAATAAGATAACAAACATTTAAAAATGCACGCAGTGTTGAACAGACCCATCGATGCCTGGATAGCCTCAGGTCCGGAATCTCGTCAGACGACGTTTGGTTGACACATATAAATAGTCAAAAACTGTGTGTTCTCCCGTGACCTACTACCTCATATTTCGAGCTACTTACTATTCCCTGGCAAATTAACATCACAAATGATATGTTGGTATTCTGTAGAGAATGGACATCTTTAAGATCTGTCCTCCTGGAGGAGTTTTGGAAAGTTTGCTAAAACCTTTTTCCAAAATGGCCGACTGCCGTGTGGGGAGCTGATTTTAACCTCTTCTACACAGCACCCCCGATACCGGGGGGAAAACGCGTCATCTGCAGGAAACAGCGTCTGAGGGCATCTTAATATTCAATAAACTATGAATGTCTTATATCCATGTAACGGGAAGAAACTCAGCTAACTGATCTTCTTTTATTTCTTTTTTTTTTAAACCCACAAAGCTAGCGCCGAGCCTCTGAATTAGCTACGAGCGAAACAATCTTAAGGCCGTTAGCACAGAACTCTAGCTACACTGATCGATATACTTATTGGATCTGCACAAACAAGCTTAGCTAACATCCTGAGAGTCCACAGATTATAGAAAGATAAGGATCATCACTGAGCAATCAGAACTCCTGACAGGGGAAGCAAATACAGACATCTCACGACGTAGCTTTACAGATGAAGCACTCCAGATCAGACTCAGGTGGGTGTGTCCCAGTCAAAAGCCCAGCGGATGCCAGCGGCTGGGGGTGTTGCCAAATTGCTAGAGGGCGTTGCCCAATTTCCCCATTTGTTCAATTACAGGATTTAACCATGAGATGGCGCTTCATTCACAAAATACACAAAGACAACTGTTTGCAATGTTTGCAGCTCTGCAGTTGTGTTTGCTGAATACTGTAGCATGTAATCACTTATGTGTTACTGTATGGTTTTCACAAACTACTATAATGAAAAAACATCAATATTTTAGATCAAATAAAGTATATAGTTTGCTTTATGCAGTATATTTCTTGTAATATTGTTGGGGTGTTTTTACACAGTACAGTAGATTGAAGTAAATCAACGTATACATTAAGATAAGATAAGATGGACCTTTATTAATCCCGTGGGGAAATTCAGTAGTTCAAACAGCAACAGGGTGAGAGTGAAAAACAGGACAGCACAGATTCACACAGATTAATACAATCTAAAATAAGATGAGCGACAAAAATAATAATAATGAGAAACTATGAAATAAGAAATGAATAAAACTAAAATATAATTATCATATCATATATTATAATGTATTGTATTATTAAGTAATATCATACATTAACCCCATTATAGCAGATGCCACATTGAATGGATGAACACATTTATGCATCAATAATTACAACAGAGTATTTCTAAATACAAGTTGTAAAAATACTTATATGTATTTAATATTAACCCTTTGGAGTCGACCGTCACGCCGGCGTGATCAGATCACATGACCTGTGCCGCATAATAACAACAGTCCGGACAACATTGCTGTGTGTTTCTGTCGAAAGTACTGGCTTGAAACTATATCCCAGTCTTTGTTTCATGCAAAAAGACCCAGTAAACACGGAGATACGATGATATAAAGTTAATACATTTCAAAAGTATGAAAAATGGAAGCACATATTTGAATATATTCGCCGCATTTGATCATTTTACGAAACGGAAAATACTGGAAACTGTAGATCCTGCTCAACAGGATGTATATGTGTATTTCTGTCGAAAGTACTGGCTTGAAACTATATGCCAGTCTGTGTTTCATGCAAAAAGACCCAATAAACAGACACAAATAAACACGGACATACGATGATATAAAGTTAATACAGATATATTTCAGAAGTATGAATAATGGAAGCACATATTTTAATATCTTCGCCGTATTTGATAATTATACGAAACGGAAAATACTGGAAACTGTAGATTCTGCTCAACAGGATGTATTTACCAGGGAGGGGGTGAGGTAATCAGGTAAACGGAGTGATACGAAACGAGACGAAAAGAGACGAAGAGGGACGGCGGGAACCGAAGAGAGACGGCGGGAAATGAGAGAGACGAAGACAGGCGGCGGGAGACGAAGAGAGACGGCGGGAGACTGCGATTGAAGCAAAGACAGACAAACATTGAGAATTGAGATATTCAAAATGCAGCATATTTTCACTCTTACACACGTATATTCTCCTTTTACATACATACATCTTCACTCTACACACATATATTCTCCTTTTACATACATACATCTTCACTCTACACACATATATTCTCCTTTTACATACATACATTTTCACTCTCACACACTACTCACACATTCATACATTTTGCTCTCATATTATCATATTTCAATGCACACATTCATATATTGTCACTCACACATTCATGCATGTTGTTCTCATATTCATATAATGTAATGCTCATATTTATACATTTTGCTCTCATGCGAAATGTACTAAAACAAAGTATGTCATGGTAGTGGTCAGCTGTTAAACACAAAAGTGTATCTTAAGGGCTGTAAATATAATAAGCCTGTTGTCAATTTTAGACACAGGCTTATTATATTTACAGCCCTTAATAACATTCATTTTCTGGACTCAATGTGTGTCTTGGCCGTTTTCTTTGTTCCAAGCAAACGAGTGCTTTTGGTTTTGAAATCACTTCCGCGAGTTTCGCGGGCCTCCCCCCTCGCTCCACTGACCATTAGACCATTTAGTAAGGTAACAAGCAAAAGGGCAAAAACGCCTCTCAGACGCTCTTCCGTTAACTTGTTTAATAAAGAAAAACAAATGGTCCGTAGATACACGGACTCATATAGCCTATGTATGTATACTGTAAGGAGAATGTATGTGCGTGAGAGGACCAGTAGGAATTACGGCATAGAAATATGCAAACACAAACCTACAGACTGGGGGATGGGAGATCACAGGAGTGGGGGGGGGGGGAGAGCTGTGGAATGTGACCCTTGGGAGAATTCCTCCACACATTCCGATGGCCAATTCGTTTTAAACAAAGAGTTCGCAACACAGGACAGCATGGGCAACATGAGGGGTGGGGGCTGGTGAACGGTCTGGTCAATGTTTGTAAACACAATCCCCAGGATGTGACCTAATCAGGAGCCGGGTAAATGAGAGACTGAGGAGCCCCCGAAAAACAGATCCCGAAATAGCTCGTCCTGGTTTCCGCAGCAGATAGGCCGACAGTATGGTGTCTGTGTTATGTCAGTCATTTAAAATAAAACGTTGAAAACTGAACTTGAAAATGGTTTCCTCTTTTTATTTTATTTATCATTTTCGGGACGGGGAGACGTGTGTGATTAAAAATTAATTTGCAGAAATGTAAAGTGATCTAACTAAGTTCTATTCATATTCTTGACGGGAAGAGCAGTGTAAATGGGTGGCCATATGCATTTGAAAAGCAATATAAATCACACAGTTATTATACAATAGGCTATAAAAGCACCATCGATAACCATTACCTTTATCCAATTCAAACTTTGGACGGGAAAAAAGGAAGGTGTACATGGTTCGGCTATACTGTAGGCCCAGGGGCGGCGGGTGCTGGAGGCTAGGGAAGGCTAAGCCTTCCCAAATATTTGTGTAACTGCATCCTGGTAAAATAAAAATATAATGTCTTTGACATTAGCGCTGCTATGCAGCCACCTGTGCCCTGTACCACGAAGCCAGTTCAACAGACCCTGGATATGCTTGAGTTATCTTAACTATCCCTAACAAACGCGATCTCGCTAAACGGTCCTACGGCGCTGGTTATCAACTCGGTAAATCAAGCCAGGGTTTCTCTCTCCAGCTGAGAACGCGTTCACGTGAAAGGGGCGGGGTTAGCTACATTTGACCAATCACAAATAGGGACAGCGCAGCGTCATACTTCATTAATGAAAAGTAAACTAATATTAGACAAATATGAACTTTAAACATCCATGATGACTTAAACATATAATCCAGGATACAAGCCACAGAGTTGCACCTGCAAGGAGAATACAGAACAACTCGTTAAAAAATAAACTACAGAGTGTTTGAAAGCGTACAACAGTTTTATGATACTGCCCCATCTAAAACACGAGGGGATCTGACTTTATTACATTTGAGTTGAGTGTTTCGTCAACTTAATGTGTTGCTTAAAATAATACGTCTGCATACAGTATATGTGACAATGTAACTAAGTGTTGCACGGCCAGATACGGCTCGAGAAGCTGACTCAGATAAGGAAATATTGTGATATCGATGTGTGATCGATGATCTGAATGATGATGTGATGTCAGTGTGATATGAATGATAAGTGCGACACGTCGGCGTCTTCTCTGCATACGGCAGTTTAAACTGCATTTCCTTTTTCCTGTAATATGACTTGATAGATTTAAACTCCGCACACTGAGCTCTGATCGGTCAGCAGATGGTGCTTTCACTGAGTTGATCTCTTTTCTATAGACGCCGGAGGCGGGCAGCGTAAGATGGAAAAAAAAGTGATTTAGCCTTCCCAAACCTGAGCCTCACGCGCCGCCTATGTGTAGGCCTACTGTATACATACAAAGGCCATTCAAGCTAGAGTTCTTCTGGAGATGTTCACATCAGGCACCTTCAAGTTAAACAATACTAAACAATTAACACAGTAGGTCTAAATTATGTGGATTAAACCACATTTATTTCGTTAAAAATAAACGAAATATGATTTAGTTTGAATGATTAAATGTCATCAGGCACCTTCAAGTTAAACAATCAGGTGCACACTTTAATGTGCCGCCACCTCCGGACTCGGCTTGACTCGGTTTAAAGAATGCACAAATGTGTTTAATCGTTTATGTCAGATATGTACTAAGTAGCCTAAATACATTTGTTCCTGCTCAAGATTAGATTCAACTTTATTGTTATTGCACATATTGCAGGTACTGAGACAACGAAATGCAGTTTAGCTTCTAACCAGGGGTGCAACAAGCAGCGAAAAGTAATGTGCACAATACTACAGTAAACAATTAACACAGTAAATGATGTGGATTAAACCACATTTATTTCGTTAAAAAGAAACGAAATATGATTTTGTATGAATGATTAAATGTAGGGTGAATTGCCCTAATGTGGGACATTTTTGCATTTCAGACTTCGGGAATATATTGCGATATGAAGCCGATACAATAAATCAAAATCCAGTAGGCCACCATTCCGAAATCCCCAGTAATATTAGACACTAATAATACAGTAAACTATTAACACTGTACATATTATTGTTTGCCCGTGGGATTGGATGATCGGTAGTGAGACCCGTGCTGCATTTTCCTCCGGTCGGATGTGATATAAAAACAAAGCGATTATTTTTGTTGTTGTAAACTCACGTGGATTAAATTTAGTGCATTCATTTCAACTCGCGAACATATGTACATTAAATGATCGTGAGGATGGTGATTGAAAATCGTTTGTTTGAGCCTGGATGCATTTCCTGATCTAAAAACATAGCGATGGTTTTGTAGTTACGCCAACGTGAATTAAACATTATTTTGTTAAATAAAAACATGGGGATGTTTAGTAAATGATTACATGTCTCTTATTTAGCACAGAATATGATCCTATCCGTGACATATGGATCTTAACAAATATCCGCTATATCAGATACCTGTAGATCAGCTGTTTATTTCACATGGGTTCCAGTGTGGCAGCTTTTTAATCACGGCTCCCCCTGGTGGATCCATTATCCATTGCAGCTGGTTTCATTATAATTAAATGTATTTATCAAGGGGGCGTTTCAAATCCTGCGGGGGGGTTTTCCTTTTCAGCAGGGGCCACCCCGTGCCGATCACGGACCCGCACGGGTAGGCGTCTGAAATGGAGCGCTTCATCTGTAGGTAGCAAAACACAGAGATATGCTCACCTTAGCTGTTATTCTCATCAAAAGTCGTGTTCAATGGCATTACAACGAGAAAAAACGCGGCTGAAGGTTAATCCATAGGTTAATCCAATGTGTCTGTCACTTTGAACAAATTATTGACAATCCATAATTCCATTTTTATGCAATAATCGGAGAAGAATAATTAGCTGCTAATGGTAGCCACCAGAGGTTAGCGCAGCTTCCGGTTTTTCTACGCGTCTCTCTCACTCCTTATTTGATAACCTGTGTGTGTATGGGGGACTTTCCCTTGATTCCATTGGCTCTGACGGTTAGAAAGAGATGTCAATCAGCAAAAGTCGACCAAGGGGGGTCAGAGATATGAAAAATCCACCCAAATGACCCCAGAAGTGTTTTTTGTTTTGTTGCTAAATCTCTCTAAAAAGGTCAAATGTCACTTGTTTTGCATCAATCTTGATACAGGGTACTTATTATATGTTGTACTTTGGATTCCTAAAGCTTTTAGTCTACTTTACCATCATCCAAGGGTAGTTTTCACTATAAGTAAAAAATAATTGTTGTGTTAAATGTTAAATGTAGTGTTCGGACCCTTCGTGAGAGGAAACCGCTGGGCCCTAGCTCTCTAGCGATCGGACCCTTCGTAAGAGGAAACCGCTGGGTCCTAGCTCTCTAGTGTTCGGACCCTTCGTGAAAGGAAACCGCTGGGTCCTTGCTCTCTGGAGCTCGGGCCCCTCGTAAGAGGAAACCGCTGGGTCCTTGCTCTCTGGAGCTCGGGCCTCTCGTAAGAGGAAACCGCTGGGTCCAAGCTCTCTGGAGCTCGGGCCTCTCGTAAGAGGAAACCGCTGGGTCCAAGCTCTCTGGAGCTCGGGCCTCTCGTAAGAGGAAACCGCTGGGTCCTTGCTCTCTGGAGCTCGGGCCTCTCGTAAGAGGAAACCGCTGGGTCCTTGCTCTCTGGAGCTCGGGCCTCTCGTAAGAGGAAACCGCTGGGTCCTTGCTCTCTGGAGCTCGGGCCCCTCGTAAGAGGAAACCGCTGGGTCCTTGCTCTCTGGAGCTCGGGCCTCTCGTAAGAGGAAACCGCTGGGTCCTAGCTCTCTGGAGCTCGGGCCCTTCGTAAGAGGAAATAGCTGGGTCCTAGCTCTCTGGAGCTCGGGCCCTTCGTGAAAGGAAACCGCTGGGTCCTTGCTCTCTGGAGCTCGGGCCTCTCGTAAGAGGAAACCGCTGGGTCCAAGCTCTCTGGAGCTCGGGCCCTTCGTAAGAGGAAATAACTGGGTCCTAGCTCTCTGGAGCTCGGGCCCTTCGTGAAAGGAAACCGCTGGGTCCTTGCTCTCTGGAGCTTGGGCCCTTCGTGAGAGGAAACCGCTGGGTCCTAGCTCTCTGGAGCTCTAACCCTTCGTGAGAGGAAACCGCTGGATCCTAGCTCTCTAGTGTTCGGACCCTTCCTGAGAGGAAATCACTGGGTCCTAGCTCTCTGGAGTATATATAATATACTAATCAACATCTGATGACCTCTCTCTCTGCAGGGCGTCCTGGGGGGAGTTACAGGAATCGTCACCAAACCTGTGGAGGGTGAGTTAACCTGGTTTTACATCATGAATAGCTAAATATAGATACAGTATATATATATACAGTGGGGCAAAAAAGTATTTAGTCAGCCACGAATTGTGCAAGTTCTCCCACTTAAAAAGATGAGAGGCCTGTAATTTTCATCCTAGGTACACTTCAACTATGAGAGACAGGATGGGGGGAAAGAATCCAGGAAATCACATTGTAGGATTTTTAATGAATTAATTGGTAAATTCCTCGGTAAAATAAGTATTTGGTCACCTACAAACAAACAAGATTTCTGGCTCTCACAGACCTGTAACTTCTTCTTTAAGAGCCTCCTCTGCCCTCCACTCGTTAACTGTATTAATGGCACCTGTTTGAACTCGTTATCAGTATAAAAGACACCTGTCCACAACCTCAAACAGTCACACTCCAAACTCCACTATGGCCAAGACCAAAGAGCTGTCAAAGGACACCAGAAACTAAATGGTAGACCTGCACCAGGCTGGGAAGACTGAATCTGCAATAGGTTAGCAGCTTGGTGTGAAGAAATCAACTGTGGGAGCAATTATTAGAAAATGGAAGACATACAAGACCACTGATAATCTCCCTCGATCTGGGGCTCCACGCAAGATCTCACCCCGTGGGGTCAAAATGATCACAAGAACGGTGAGCAAAGATCCCAGAGCCACACGGGGGGACCGAGTCAATGACCTGCAGAGAGCTGGGACCAAAGTAACAAAGGCTACCATCAGTCACACACTACGACCCAGGGACTCAAACCCTGCAGTGCCAGACGTGTCCCCCTGCTTAAGCCAGTACATGTCCAGGCCCGTCTGAAGTTTGCTAGAGAGCATTTAGATGATCCAGAAGAGGATTGGGAGAATGTCATATGGTCAGATGAAACCAAAATAGAACTTTCTGGTAAAAACTCAACTAGACGTGTTTGGAGGAGAAAGAATGCTGAGTTGCATCCAAAGAACACCTACTGTGAAACATGGGGGTGGAAACATCATGCTTTGGGGCTGTGTTTCTGCAAAGGGACCAGGACCACTGATCCGTGTAAAGGAAAGAATGAATGGGGCCATGTATCGTGAGATTTTGAGTGACAACCTCCTTCCATCAGCAAGGGCATTGAAGATGAAACGTGGCTGGGTCTTTCAGCATGATAATGATCCCAAACACACCGCCCGGGCAACGAAGGAGTGGCTTCGTAAGAAGCATTTCAAGGTCCTGGAGTGGCCTAGCCAGTCTCCAGATCTCAACCCCATAGAAAATCTTTGGAGGGAGTTGAAAGTCCGTGTTGCCCAGCGACAGCCCCAAAACATCACTGCTCTAGAGGAGATCTGCACGGAGGAATGGGCCAACATACCAGCAACAGTGTGTGAACACCTTGTGGAGACTTACAGAAAACGTTTGACCTCTGTCATTGCCAACAAAGGGTATATAACAAAGTATTGAGATGAACTTTTGTTATTGACCAAATACTTATTTTCCACCATCATTTGCAAATCAATTCTTTAAAAATCCTACAATGTGATTTCCTGGATTCTTTCCCCCATCCTGTCTCTCATAGTTGAGGTGTAGCTAGGATGAACATTACAGGCCTCTCATCTTTTTAAGTGGGAGAACTTGCACAATTGGTGGCTGACTAAATACTTTTTTGCCCCACTGTATATAGGTGAGTATACCTAGATATATACAAATATAGGTATGTATGGATATATATTGGTAAATATATAGAGGTATACAGGTGTTTATGTAGATGTATGAGTGTATATATAAGGGTATATACAGCTTTTCCTTTTTTCCCGTCCAAAGTTTGAATTGGATAAAGGTAATGTTTATCGATGGTGCTTTTATAGCCTATTGTATAATAACTGTGTGATTTATATATAGAGTTATAGGTGTATATATAGGGGTATAAATAGGGGTATATACTGTGCAGGTGTATAATCTATATGTTTGTGCAGGGGCCAGGAAGGAGGGCGCGGCCGGCTTCTTTAAGGGCATCGGGAAGGGTCTGGTGGGCGTGGTGGCCCGGCCCACCGGGGGCATCGTGGACATGGCCAGCAGCACCTTCCACGGCATCCAGAGGTACTTCCTGTCTACAGCAGACACTTCCTGTCTGCTCTTCTTCTGCTCACTAATGTTCTGTTTCTGTTTTCTGTCTCGTGTCGTCGTGTCCCGGAGTTTGGTTCTTTCTTTTCTTTCTTTTCTTCTGGTGTGAGTATTTGTCCTTTCACGCGTTAAAGCTGACCTCCTTCACCGCTGCTCCTGTAGTTTGATATCTATATTTATATATCTATTATATGATATCCAGGGGGAAGCAGCCTGTAGTGTTATATATACGATATGAATCTATAATATGGTATAGTGGGGGGGCAGCTTTGGCGTGTGTTTGTGCATGTTGTTGTTGTTGTTGTTTTTGTTCCTGCAGCAGACGAAGGTAAGTCCTGCATCGTGTTGAAATAAAATCTCCATCTGTCCTTCGAGTCCTGATTCATGCTGTCACTGCTCGTAGCCCCGCCCCCAGCATTGTGAGGCCACGCCCCCCCCAGGAGGTCACATGACCCTAAATCTCACAGGAAGTTAACTCACTTTAAAGAGCTGTTGACGAGCAGTTAGTTACATTTTATTTCCGGCATCTTCTCAGACAGATCGACTCCAGCATGCTGTGGTCATGGAGCGAAGGAAGTGGAATTAAACTCAATCTAAGATCGTCCGGAAAAGGACTTTAAGGATCAAGATTTTTAGAATTTTATATTTAATAATACTACAGCTGAAGACTTGAGTCAAGCTTCTTTTATCTTCAGTGAGTGAAGAGCTGCAGCCGTGGGTATATGTGGGTATATATGGGTATATATGCGTATATATGTATATATAGGGGTATATATGGGTATATGTGGGTATATATTACATTACATTACATTACATTGCATTTAGCTGACGCTTTTATCCAAAGCGACTTACAATAAGTACATTCGACCAGGAAGACACAACCTTGAAGAAAACATAATCATAAAGTACATCAGGTTTCATAGAGCCAAACATTTCAAGTGCTACTCAACTGGCTTTAGGTAAGCCAGTCCTTTATTAGTATAAAAGTGCTTTGTTAATAGTTCTATCGCTGGAAGTGGAGTCGAAAGAGATGAGTTTTCAGTCTGGAAGGTGTGTAAGCTATCTGCCGTCCTGATGTCAATGGGGAGCTCATTCCACCATCTTGGAGCCAGGACAGCAAACCCACATGTTTTCGCCGATGGGAACTTGGGTCCCCCTCGCAGCGAGGGTGCAGCGAGTCGTTTGGTTGATGCAGAGCGTAGTGCACGCGCTGGGGTGTACGGTTTAACCATGTCCTGGATGTAGGAAGGGCCAGATCCATTCGCAGCATGGTAAGCAAGTACCAGTGTCTTGAAGTGGATTCTAGCAGTTACCGGAAGCCAGTGAAGGGAGCGGAGGAGCGGAGTGGTGTGGGAACATTTAGGAAGGTTGAAGACCAGGCGAGCCGCTGCATTCTGGATGAGCTGCAGAGGTCGGATGGCACATGCAGGTAGACCAGCCAGGAGAGAGTTGCAGTAGTCTAGGCGTGAGATGACGAGAGCCTGGACCAGAACCTGAGTCGCTTTCTGAGTCAGCTGGGGACGTATCTTCCTGATGTTGTAAAGCGTGTATCTGCAGCAGCGGGTTGTAGCAGCGATGTTTGCAGTGAAGGACAGGTTGTTATCTAGGGTCACACCCAGATTCCTTGCAGTCTGAGTCGGGGAAACAACTGAGGTGCCGATGTTGATTGTCAGGTCAAGAGTTGGACAATCTTTTCCCGGGAGGAAGAGCAGTTCAGTCTTGTCAAGGTTGAGCTTGAGGTGGTGATCAGACATCCACTGAGAGATGTCAGCTAGACAAGCAGAGATGCGTGCGACGACCTGGGTCTCTGAGCGGGGAAAGGACAGAATTAATTGGGTGTCGTCAGCGTAGCAGTGGTAAGAAAAACCATGCGGGCTAATGACTGATCCGAGCGAGTTTGTGTACAAGGAGAAGAGGAGGGGACCAAGAACAGAGCCCTGAGGGACCCCCGTAGTTAATTGACAAGGGTCGGACTCGGACCCTCTCCAAGTCACCCTGTAGGTACGGTCTTTCAGGTATGAGGTGAGGAGGGAAAGTGCAGAGCCTGAAACTCCAAGTTCTTGGAGAGTGCGAAGGAGGATCTGATGATTCACCGTGTCGAATGCAGCAGACAGGTCCAATAGGATGATGACAGAGGAGAGGGATGCAGTTTTGGCAGTGTGCAGTTCCTCCGTGACAGCAATGAGAGCAGTTTCTGTGGAGTGACCTGCCTTGAAACCAGACTGGTGCGGATCCAGAAGGTTGTTCTGATTGAGATAACAGGAGAGTTGTTTAAAGACAGCGCGTTCAAGTGATTTAGACAGGAACGGGAGGAGAGAGACAGGCCTGTAGTTTATAACATCAGACGGGTTGAGAGTGGGTTTCTTTAGGAGAGGGTTTACTCTTGCCTCCTTGAGACTGTTTGGAAAGTGACCAGAAGTTAGAGAAGTGTTGATGAAATGGGTGAGAAACGGTATAGATATCAGGAGCGATAGTCTGAAGGAGGTTTGAAGGGATAGGGTCCAGAGGACAGGTGGTAGGGCGGGCAGAGGTAATGAGGGTAAGAACCTCACTTGGAGAGAGAGGGGAAAAGGAGGTTAGTGTGTTGGTGGAAGGAAGGTCTGGTGACCCAGCGGTGAGTAAAGGTGAGTCAGAAAAAGAAGAGCGAATATCATCAACCTTTTTTTCAAAGTGGGGTAACAAAGTCGCTTGACAGAAGTGAGGAGGGGGGAGGAGCTTTTGGAGGGTCCAAGAGGGTGGAGAAGATGGAAAATAGTTTTTTAGGATTGGAATAGGAAGATTGGATCTTATCTTGAAAGAAAGTGCTTTTTGCCTGAGAGATCGAAGCAGAGAAAGAGGAGAGGAGAGCCTGATAGGTTAGGAGGTCGTCACGGTGTTTGGATTTCCACCATTTCCGCTCTGCTGCCCTAAGGACGGTTCTATTAGCACGCAGTGCATCATTTAGCCAGGGAGCAGGAGGGGACTGACGAGCCTGCCGAGATGTGAGAGGACAGAGAGAGTCCAGAGTGGATGAGAGAGTAGAGAGGAGAGTTTCTGCAGCAGAGTTTGGAGGCAGGAGTTGGAACGAATCAGAGGAAGGGAGGGCTGAGAGCACCGACGAGGCAAAGCTAGAGGGGGAGAGGGAGCGAAGGTTACGGCGGACAAGTGTAGGATGAGAAGAGATTAGTTTGTTATGTTTGGAAAGGGATAGAGAGAATGAAATGAAGAAGTGATCAGATGTGTGGAGCGGGTTTACAGAGAGGTTAGAAGTAGCGCAGTTCCTTGAGAATATGAGATCAAGGACATTGCCAGCTTTATGAGTCGGTGGGGACGGAGACAGTGAGAAAGCAAAGGCGGTTAACAGAGATGTTAGTTCGTCTATCTTCCCCATCTGGAGGTTGAAGTCTCCGAGAAGTACAGCGGGAGGGCCAGTTTCAGGGATGTGTGAGAGGAGATGATCTAATTCCTCCAAGAAGTCCCCCAAGGCGCCTGGTGGACGGTAGAGAACAACAATGGTTAACAGTATAGGATGGGTTACTGTGACGGTATGGAATTCAAAGGTGGAAGGAGTGAAGTTAGGTAGCTTGAAGAGGGAAAAGCTCCATTTGGGAGAGAGCAGGAGACCAGTGCCACCTCCTCTGCCAGTTGGTCTGGGTGTATGGGAGAAGGAATATGCAGTGGAGAGAGCTGCTGGGGTGGATGTGTTGGATGGAGTAATCCAGGTCTCAGTGAGAGCAAGGAAATCCAGAGACTGCAGGGAGGTGTAGCCAGAGATGAAGTCAGCCTTAGGAACAGCTGACTGGCAGTTCCACAAGCCACCTGAAACTAGATGTTGGATCTCAGTGGAGCACGTGGGATAGACGAGAGCAGGCCGGTTATATCGATTAGGAGATACACGGGGCCAGTGATAATTGCGAGAAGACACATGAACAGGAATGGAGAAAATACACATGATTATAGCATGAGGGGCTAGAAAACTAAAGAAAAGAGAAATAAGACACCAGCTCGATCAGAGTAGGATTTGCCTCCTCTTTGCCTCCCTCGTGACTCCAGCAGGACTCCAATGTCTTTGTCAGTCTTTGACTCCCGCAGGACTCCAATGTCTTTGTCAGTCTTTGACTCCCGCAGGACTCCAATGTCTTCGTCAGTCTTTGACTCCAGCAGGACTCCAATGTCTTTGTCAGTCTTCGGCTGTCTGACGCTGAAGCTGACGCTCCAGGAAAGAGCTACCCGAAATGGACGCCTGATTGCTCAGTTCTCACAGCTGTAGGGCCACGGCCCTCTAATTAGTTAACTATCTACAGCTGATGGGCGACAATAGACTGGCCGTGCCTATATTAATACAGGCTTGAGTGCTGAGACCTGTAAAGCAGGTTTCGCCTGATATATGGGTATATATGCATATATATGTATATATAGGGGTATATATGGGTACATATGGGTACATAGGTGTCTATATGGGTATATGTGGGTATATATGCATATATATGTATATATAGGGGTATATATGGGTATATATGCGTATATAGGGGTACATAGGTGTATATATGGGTATATTTAGTTTGTTTGTAGCCTTTATTTAACCAGGTGAAGCCCCTTGAGAATCAAAAGATCTCTTCTTCAAGGGTGACCTGCAGGACATTAGTTACACATGTAACGTAAAAACAACAGAACAACAATAAGGATGACATACAACATAATGTACAGGGTACAGATTACAAACTCTATTTACAGAGACAGGTACCATGAGTATCAAACAGCATGTCACCCAGCCGAGTTTCAAAGTGATGCAGGGGAACCAAAGTGCTCAGTTTGAAACATGTTTGCAGACTGTTCCAAGTTAGTGGAGCTGCACAACTAAAAGCTTTCTTCCCTAAGACAGTCCTAGCACTTGGCACATTTAATAAAACAACATCATGAGATCTCAGGCAATATGTACTTTCAATTCGTGGAGAGATCAGAGAGCAGATATAAAAAGGTAGTTTACCCAACATGGC